ATATATCATGAGATATAATTCAAGGTAGCTAACTGAAGGGTTTGAAAGAAAAGTCATCTTCTAGACAAAGAAAACTATGCATTATTACATTTTAGGATTTGTTACTTGAAATTAGCAAATTTGCCTTTTTACTATTTATGTTAAAGTATGTGGCCAGTGCAGTTTATTCAAGATGAAACAAAAGCCCTTATATGAACTACACTATCATATTTATTAACCTCTAGAGAATCAGCTTATAAGCCATCACTGCCTGTATGAACTTTGAAGGTGAAGGAGATCCTGAAGGAGGATTCAATGATCAATCATAAAAATCTGATATATGTCTTAAACATATATCATAAAAAATACTGAAAAATCGACAGTTTTCAAACATAAGAAGTGTGGATTTCCCAATACTCTATGCTCATAAAAAGGGTAGGAAAAACAAGAGATGCTTAGGTCAGCCCATGCAGTTGTTCAACAGAAGTACAATCAGAATGGCGATGAATATAGTGATAAGACAAACCAACACAGGGTCATTTCTGTCCTTGGAAACCCTGTATAGCCTTCAACAGACAAAATTTGCATAATAAGCAAATGTTAAAACAGGCAAAACAAGTAAGGAACTGACAGATGATTAAGGGACCTACTGAATAGAGCTTTTTGAAATGTTCAGTTAATTTAATTATTCTTATGTAAACTCGTGAGAAATTTAGGGTAAAAAATTAGGATGTATAAAGGAAAGTCATTTGATTTTTTAACAAAAAAGGAACAGTCAAAATGTTTCCTAAATTTATGCTTTTTATATTTCCATTACACATTTTTCTAGGTGATTGATTCAATGAGAAGCAGATTTAATCTAATAATATTGCAATGGAATATTATATTATCCTGTAATGTCAGAAAAAAACAAATATAGTGAGTTATATTAGATTACAGTCAGTATCATCTGAAATTTAGTTCTATAAAATCAGTTTGATTTTTTTTTTCATTCTAGTCAGAACAGGTGGCAACAGCAATGGTTTCCTTCTGTAATTCTTGGTTTGAACTTTTTACACAGCAGGCCTCACCTTTGCTTGTACTTCAAAGAGTGCATAAGTAATATACAGGGCAGCCACAGTCCCATTTTATCCCATTAAACTTCCCTAGGTCTTGAAAGTTCTTATTTGATTTAAGATGTGAGGTTGGGCCAGGAGAGTCAATTTTTTAACAGTCTGGTACATGATTGACATTTTAACCGTTTGTCTTCCTCAGAGCGCACCATGTTTCCTAAACTTTTGTAACTCAAATCAGAAACGATGTGAAAATGAGCATTTGACTCAAAATTTATTAATTATCTTAAAAGTGCTGTTCAAATCGATGAATGCTAGTGTTTCCAGAATATTGAATTCATCTAATGCTTGGGGTTTTTTTTGCAGTTTGAGCTTAGGGAAAATACAGTTCTCCATTATTCACTCTATGCTCTTGCTTGGACGAAACTCCTTTGCCCCCAACTTTCCTTTCTTATTCTTAAAGAAGGTTGAGGTCATGTGTAAGATCTCTGGTTAGGGCTACTTCCATGACCTTAACTTTTATATGCTCTTTCTGGAGACTTTCTTGTTATTAGAGGTTGAAAAATATCTATATAGCTCCTCTATTGCTTTATTTTTTTCTGAATCTTCTATGACTTCATTGTACTTCTCTCTCTTTTCCTAGTTATGGCTTTACCAAAAAGTTCACTCCTTTAAATTTATGTCCACTATAAATGTTTCTACCCTTTTAATCAAGATTAGCTGATACAACGAGTACCTATTGCTTTGGCACAGTTTACAAGCTAATAAGGGAGAGAAAAATGTAGGTAGGAGATCACATGTGTGGTAAGTGTTGCAACAATCATAATGCACGATGAACATGTTTGTCTGGCTGCAGGAATAAACAAAAATCAGTGTCACTGCTAGCTGTGAGAAGAGGAATTGAAGCAATCAGATTCTTTTTTACAGGAAACTGGATTGGAAATACTGAATAGGAAATAATTAGCCAATTAGCATCAGGAATTTATCAGAAAGGTCATGAGAAAAGGTAAGAATTTAGTATCATCTTGAGGTAGCAGATCATACAGGAAAACAAAAGACACTAGTTAATATCTGGAGAAATATAGAACAGGCAATATTAAAAGAGATTCACAAGCACTACAAGGGAGCAGGCAGCTCCTCCTAAGTGGTATAATTGCCAGAAAGGTTATGGAGATAGTGGGAGCATGGGAAAGAAAGAGCCTTAATAAGGCCTAGTAAACCACACATATTGTAATTGTGATTTTTCAAGATACATTTACTCTGTTTTCAGAGGTGAGGTAGGAGATAATAGGGTATAGCAATTATCAGCACTGCATGTAGAATGATACGGCTATATTGTGTGTACAGAACTGTAGCAAACCAATGAACAGTTCTACTCAATGTTGTCCTCTGTAATCTGGAGTAGCACTTAACTTTTAGGGTTATCTTAACGATTCGATGAAATAAACCAGGTAAAGTACTTGGCACAGTTTCTTGTTCTTACATTTTGAAATACATTAGCTATTATTATTTAATTCTATCTCAATACTAAAAAGCATACTAAACTGGTGGCTTTTTCAAACTGTGGATCGCAATCATGAGTATTTTATGTGGTAAATTTAAGGAAGAATAGCCAGCCATTTTAGATAAAGAGCTTAGAGTAAGAAGAATTTTCTACAATAAAGATATTATTTGTAAAACTTTTTTTCAGGTACATATGTGTATATCTGTGGGTATGTGTGTTTACACAGGCCCATGCTCATGATTTGGTGACCACTATATTAGATTAGTGCTAGAGAGAACAGATTGGTCATGATAAACCTCTCTGTATTTTTACTATAGTTTGTTCTCAACAAAGAAATCAGAGTAATCCTTATAAATAAAAAACTTATAATCCTCATAAGTACAAGTAAGTAAAACTTATTTCAGGCCATTTAACAACTCCAATGGAGTAAAAATAAAATTCATTGCTATACAAGCTTTCATTCAATACTCTTACTGAATTTATTTTTACCTTTTGGAATATATCTCCTATTACTCTCTTTGCTGTCCAACACCCTCTTCCTAGAAATCTCTTCCTGTGGTACTTTGATGACTCAAATATTCCCTCATCTCTTCAGGTTCTTTTAAAATGTCATTCTTTCCATAACTGGACTTGACCACTGAATTATATCTCTGTGCTCTCTGCTCTCCTTTCTTGATTTATTTTTCATCAGTCATTACTACTTAACATACTCTGCATTTTACTTTTTTCCTATATTTTTCCACCATAACTATGCACCAAGAATTTTCATTGGTTCTATTTTCCATTGTATTCCTAGTCCCCAGAATAGAGCAATGCCTAGCACACAGAAGAGACTTGCCGAATAATTCTTGAATGAGTATATAAGTCAGTAGACAAGGCAGGTATAAAGGAAATGTATGCAAAACAGGTGGCAAGTAAAGAAATAATACCTACATAGAGAAAGATATTTTATTAATTCATAATAAGAAGACAACTCAATGGAAAAAATAAGCAAATAATATTATTTTAATGTTCAGATGGTCTACCCAATGTCCTTTCTCTCTTTCTTACTATTAGAGCACTAATCTCATTTAGTGCAGCCAAGATTCAACTAAGGAGCTTCCTCTACAGCTGGAGTGTCCTTGCCTCATGGTCTTGGCCCTGGAGATAGAAGCACAAATCGCTCTGTGGACTTCTGAGAAAGTGATTTTGGCCTTTTGCACTTTCTTTCTTCTCTAATTGATGGGGGTTCTGTAGCTACTTTGTGAGTAGGGAGATGAGTTCATGTTTCAAGGAGGGAGAAAGGGAATGTCTAAAGCAGCCCAGATGCCCACTGGCCTAAGAAGCCATTGCACCAAGACTGGACTGTT